TCTCAGTGCGGGGTCCACGGAAGTCCCAGCCCTTTCCTCAGGGCCAGCGTTCGGTCCCGAACCGTTCTTTGACGGCCGCCAGGCCCGGCGAGGGCCCCCCGATACCGAGAACGGCGCAGCCACCTCCCCTCATATTTTCTTAATAAAAAACCACGGCGAGAGCATGTCTGGGTCTCGACCGCAGCCCTCGTGTCGCCTCCGCGAGGTTTGCCGCTGTCCTACGGGCACCTGGGCCCCGAAGCGGCCCACTGGAAGCCCAGGCCCGTCGGAAGCGCTGTCCGTCCTGACAGGCTTCGAGGCGCCAAGGGTCTGGCAGGGAAGACTGGGGGGATGGGGGCTGGCCGGCCTTTGGGCTGCGCGCAGACAGCCTTCCCGGGTAGCCCCTGCTGGCCTCAAAAGGCGCCCCGAGTGTAAAGTCCCACAATGGAGCGCGCAGGTGGCTATGTGCCCCCGCGAGATCTGGCGCCAGGGGCGCCCGATGGCCGCACCTGAACCACAAGATTCGACGTGGCCCCGGCGCCGCCATTCGTAACCGACGGAACTTCGAACAAGAGGTCGGGGGGCCTACGCGCGCAACGATCTCCACCGACGCCTCGCGGCAACGACGCCGCGGCACCCGACAGCCCGCGATATTGCGCGGAGACTTCATGGCGCAGGGGGGCATTCCGCGCCGGCGAAGACCGAAAGCGGATGCCCGCCGTGCTCGTTCGGGCAAATGCGCGGGAGCATCGGCGCGCAAAGCAAACGCGCGCACCGACGACGGCGCGCGAGCCGAGCGCCGCGGGGCCCCAGGTTTACCCCCCCCCCCTGGAGGACGAACAAGAACAACACAAACATACACTTTCGGAACTCCGCGCGAATATTGGATCTGCGCTGCACCCCACTCCCTGGCGCTCGAAGTGCGGTAGGGGCGGCGCCGGATGCGCCGCCAGAAAGACCCAGCGACGATCCGTGAAATCCGCGCGGGGCGCAGACAATTTATGTTGATGACGTTCTCTGTCCTCAACTGCACGTAAGAGTGGCCCTGCGCAAGAACGAACTTTGGTGCGCGACTTTCGGTGGGAGGCACTGGGGGGGCCGACCACAGGCGCGCAAGCCGCTGATACACCGCACTGCGCACAACGCACGGGAGACCCCTGTGGGCCCGCACCAAAGAGCCACCTCCGGCGAGTGGCCACTCTGACGCGTAGCCGATGTTCGACCCCCCCGCGCTGCCGGCCTTGGGGGACCAGGGCAGAGCGTCGGCGCTGGAGCTGCCTGGCGAGGCCCGCAGCGAGCTCGGCATCCATGCCAGCGGCGAGGGGCTCGCGGGCGGGGAGCTGCGGCTCCTGGGGGTTTGCCCCGCTCCCGCCCGCACACGCCGGCCTGCGGCTGCTGCTGCCACCACGACCGCCCGTGCAGCATTACGCAGCTCCTAGCAGTGCGCAACTGGCGCACGCCAGGGCGCATCGCCTGCTGCTGCCGCTGCTGCCTTGCTGCTGCCGCTGCTCCTTCTTTTGCCACTGCTGCCGCTGCTGCTGCTCCTCCTGCTCCTCCCGCTGCTGCCCTCCACCTCCTCCTCCTCCTTCTCCTGCTACTCCTCCTCCGCCTCATCCTCCTCTTCCTCCTCCTCCTCCTCCTCCTCCTCCTCCTCCTCCTTCTCCTCGTCCTCCTCCCGGAGGCCCTTAGAGGTGAGGATCGTGCCGAGCGCCGATGCCCTCCCCTACCTGGCCAGTGCCAGGCGGAGGACACTCAAATACTAGCCTTCAGGCAGGGCGCGAAGGGAGCCGACAGGGCGACGGTGGAGAGATGGCGGGGCGACCTCTGCGGAGAGAGTGGAGGGTGGCTGGCAGGCGGCGCCGCGCCAGGCCCGAGGGCGGGAACCACGCTCGTCGCGGGAGAAGGTGGACTCCGCCTCGGCGCGCTCTTCAGCTTCAGTGGAGTAGGGCCCCCTCTTCGGCTGCACGCAAGAGTGACCCTAGGCAAGAGTGACCTGTGGTGCGCGGCTGTAATGGTAACCGCGGAGGGGCTAAAGCCAAGCGCTCAAGCTGCTGCTATCGCATCGCATTCAGCGTTCGGGGGGCCCCCGGTGGACGGTGGACCCGCACCAAAAGTCACTCATGGGAAGAGTCAGCCTTGCGTGTAGTCGACCTCCCCCCTCCACGTCCAGAGGCTCCACAATCGAGGGAGGGGGTTGGTGCGGCAACCGATCGAGGCAAGCGGCGTTGCACACGGTGCTGGCGGAGGAAATGTGCCAGGAGGGGGGCCCTCTGCAGGAAGAGCGATGGATGGGGGTGCAGTCGCAGGCGGGGCCCGAGCGCGATCACCAATCCCTCGGGGGAGGAGGCGGCAATCGCCTCGGCTTGGCTCTTCGTGACTGGCGCGGCCGCCACCTCGGTCGCCAAGCGCGGCGAGTGTGGGTGGGGGCTTTTGCTCCCTCCATTCCGGATCGCCCTATGCCCCACCCGCCTCAAAGTTCTCTTGGAATGTGTATGCGTCTGGCCCGACCCCGATGGTCCCAATGCGCTTGAGCACCGAGGGTCTCTGCTACCCCCACGCTGCCTCCGGGGGCCCACTTGTCGTTCCCCTCTCGCGGCTGCTTCCCCGTGAATTCGTGCAGCGCGCTTCCCTATGGGTGAACACTGTACGCCCTGTTGCCACTGTGAACTGGCCAACCCGTCCCACTCCCTTTAGTTTCTCTCGTTTGCCTGACTACGCCGCGTTGCTGCGCGCGGGGCTGCGACGCCTGACACAAGTGTGTGTGTGTGTGTGTGGCGCGGCTCTCAAACTTAGACGGAGCGGTGGTGTGTGAGGAGGGGGGTGGGTCAGAGCAGAGCCGCCGCTGAGACAGCAAGGTTGAGTAGAGCTGCGTCGTAGGATCAAAGCTGGGACAACAAGCTGCTGTGCTTTTCTGGGAGCAGGAGATGGGGAGCGGAAGTCCTGGCGACCACACGACTGAGTGAACCACGAATGGGCCTTAGAGCTTACCTCCAATGGCGCGGACAAGCCAACATGTGAGACTGGCACAAGCAGGAAAGTAGGCTGCCGTGCGGCATGGTGGAGCGTCGGTAGGAGGCCGCGCTCTCCTGTGGGGCAGCTGCAGCCAGGGCCGGTGCGGGGTGGCGTGGACTGGTTGCCCACAAGAGCCGATGGAGACGGGGGAGGTAGTGGGCGTCGTCCTACCGCTCCTGGGGTGGGACCGGCCCGTGCCACAGGCCTGCCGGTAGCATCCTCCTCCTCCTCTTCCTCCTCCTCCTCCTCCTCCTCCTCCTCTTCCTCTTCCTCCTGCTCCTGCTTCTGCTCCTGCTCCTCCTCCTCCTCATCCGACTTCGAGCTCAAGTGTGGCGCAGGTTCGCAACCATTCCCGTAGTCGGTTTGTGCTGGGAGCCCTAGCCTCATCTCCGCCTCAGCGTGGCACTTGGGTGGCACCGGGGCGGCATCTTCGTCTCAGAGACGCTCAACCGGTTAGCGAAGAAAGACGGAACTCAGGGTCAGGCTACGCAGTCTTGTATTCTGTTCTGGTAGGGTGCTGTATTGCTGTTTGTGGGATTCAGGGCGAACACAGGATATTTTTCCAATTCCAGCCGTGTTTGGTCTGGACCTACTTATCTGTTGGTTGCCCTCCCAGTCGGTCGGAGTGCTAGGGGCCGTTTCTTCGTGGTACACTTTCCGGGGTTCAGCGGCTTGCTACTGGCCTATTTCAATGATGGTCTGCCCTCCCAGGCGGTCGGCGTGCTAGAGGCTGTCTTCCCTTGTGGCACACCGCCCGGGGTTCAGCGGCTAACTACTGAGTCATGGTTTGTGGGCTTCGTTTTGAGGGACCTGAGGGTGCAAGGGTTTTCGCATCATCGTCGTGTACGGGGCTGGCATTTTTATTCAATAATGGTGAAGCGCGTTGACATAATGGTATCCTTCGGTTTCGTCTTCAATGTCCGCTTCGGCATACCGGTTCCCTTGTCAGTGTATTCAATTGTCACCTCAGTTTTGTATGTTGGTGGAATTGTTGATGTGTCTGTCGCAGCCGTATGGATTCAGCTCTGGGTGAGACGGTCGGCGTCGGCATTGCCTTCGGTCTGCATTGCTTCGCACTCGGGGGCGGCTACCAGGTAGTTTGCTGATGCACCTGCCACGTGGTGAAGTCTTGTCCGAGGTTCTCATTCCCCTCAGGCGTCGTCGCTTCAGGTCTCCGTTGTCATCGTCCCCTGAGCTCGGGGAGGCGAGAGGTTTCGTTAAGGACAACGTCCTGGAACTCTTCCTCTTACTCCTCTGACCTCGAGGATCGAGGTCTCCGGGCGTTCCTGGCCTCCTGGGGCCCCCCTCGTGGCCATGGCTGGACCTTCCCCCCGAATCGCCTGCCAGAGCGCGCCCCTGGACGCGACTCCGCCCCCTCGCCCCTTCCCCCCTTTGCCCTCCTCCCCACGACGATCTCGACTGCGACTGTGCCGACGGCCCCCTGGACCTCTCTTGGGCTGCATCTTGCCCGCCTCTTCGGGAAGGGCGCCCCGTCGCGGCCGCGAGGGCGCCGCCTCGCGGCCTCAGGAGCCTGGATGTAAAGAAATAGTGTTGGGGCTTGTTTGTGAATATTTTGTCTGTGGGCTGCGTCTTGACTCTTCCGTCTTCATGTTTTGGTGATCGCTTGCTTGCCGTTTTGTTGACGTTCGAGCCGCTACTTGCTTTGAATCCTGAGCTTCGTTCTTGTTTTTGATTTTCGGCGACCGTCTTCTTTTTTCGCTTTCAGGTCTGGCCCCCGTCTGCGCCTTGCCGCACATTTTTTACGTTTCTTCCCCAAGAAGCAGTTTGTCTGCAAGAGTTCAGTGTCAGCTTTCTGACATTCTAATAATTCCGTTGCCGGGACTGGAATCGGGCGGGCGACGTTACCTGCCGTTGCCTCCCGCTGCCTGCCGTTGCCTCCGGTGGCCTTCCATTGCCGTCCCTATCCCTCTGCCTCTGCCTCGATCCCTATCCCTGTTTCTATCCTTGATCGCTTATCCCTTTCCCCCTTTCCTACCTTATCCCTATCCCTACCTATCCATGTCCAAATCCTCTTCCGATTCCTAAATCCCTATATTTATTCATATATTTCAGCATCCCTGTATGTCTAGCCCTATATTAGTATCCCTATTCCCCCCTTTGGTGACTCCTTATCCCCACATGGTGACCCGTTATCGTGACCCCCCCTCGTGGCCCCATCGTAACTGTGAGTACGTCAACCTGTTTAGGGCCTGCTGCTGCAAGTGTATCGTCGATTCGTTGTCTTTCATACATTTTCAGCTACCCCACAACCACCGATCATGTTTGAGCCGTTTCGGCGATGCGCTCCTCGTCCCGTTTTGGCACTCCGTTTTCTGTATGCTTGTTTGTTTGGCTCGCGCGCGATTTGTTTCAAACCCGTGCTGGGCTTCAATGTTGATTCTCTTGTGGTTGGTCGTAACCAGGCACGATGAAAGCGGGGCAAGGAACGCCCCCAGCGCTGTGAAAAACAATTGCGGCCGGCAACGTTTCCTCAGCGTGTCGCGGCGGCGGCCCCGGCGGCAGGCTATGCCTTGCAAGCGGACGGCGTGTCCTTCTGCTTCGCGGGGCGGGAGGCTGGGCAATGGCTTGGGGAGCTGCCGCCCGGGGACCCGGACGTGGTCAGCGTGTCGCGCCGAGGCGCGAACCGGCGGAGCGACACTCCAAGCCAAATCAAGGCCCCGTAGACCCAGGCACAGAAGACCGGGACATCCAACACCCTTCGAGACCACTTTTCAGGCGGCGGCACGAAACAAACACGCCGCACTGCAGCATTCCCGTAATACACCCTGGCGGAAGCCCTAGAGCCCACAACCCCCCCGAAAGACCCAGACAAAGACTCGCATCCTGCAGATCAACCATCAAACATGCACTGGACGGCCAGATCTGAATTTGCAGGACAAGGTGCCGTTTCCCCGACTTGCCAAGAGCGCGCTTTTTCATTGAGTTCAAGCAAGTGAACTTGCATGGGAATTCCCCCCCTTCCCCTCCCCCCCCTCCCCGCTCTCCTCACCCCTCTCCCCCCCTCTCCCCCCCTCACTCCCCTCTCTCCCCCCTCTCCACCCACCCTCCGCCGCCTTATGAAACAATGCTGGGCCGAAACGGCGTGCACGTGAGTTTCGTCTTTCATGAACTCCAGAGTTCCTTCAAAGCCTCAATACGCTCCATGAAGAAGAACTTGCCAGAGCCTGAACGAAAACTGCCTCCAGGCAGTTTTTTGACTGTCCGGGGCCCAGCGAGGGCCCCCAGAGGCCGAGAGCGGTCCAAAATCTCACGTCTGGAACTGTTTTCGCGACGCGAGCATGTCTGGGCCATCACGTCTCCGCTGCTCCCCAGGCCTCTCCTGGGTGCGCTGTGGCCAGAATCTCGAGGCGAGTCCAGCCGTGGCGACGAGGGCCTCCCAGGAGGCCTGTCAACCAAGCGAAGCCGAGAAGCGGCCTCCGAACGGCCTCCGAGGATGTCTGGGGGGCCTCCAAAGGTCTCCGAAAGGCCTCCGAAAGGGCCTCCGCCGCCGAGGGGCTGGAGGGTGAGGGGCAACGATGGTGTGGGCCTGGTCTGGCCATCGCTCGGGCGTCCATTTTTTTGTTTTGTTTTCTTTCGATTTCGTGCATGGCTTTTTCGCAGGATGATCCAGGATGCTTCTCAATAGCCCCCGCCGAGAAAAGGTGCACACGTCCAAGCGATACCAAGTGGTACGAGGGGGAAACATCGACCTGGAATCGGCGACTCATCGCCGATAGATCGGCGATATGCATCCAGATAGCGAAAACGAGCGTTCCTGGGCGGGTTTGGCTATCATGCCCCTAACGGCGATCAATGGGCGACGGGGGGTCGATGCATTCCCGCCTGAGCCTACCCCCCCCATGCTGACTGGTCTCGGTTTTCGGGTCATTACTCGGGGCTCCGGCGGCCGTTCGGGACGATCCGGGCACCCCCAGACGCCCGTCGGCGAGGCGCAGCTGCTGGCACGCATCCCGAGGCTGGAAGCCGCCGAGACCCGACGACCCCCCCCTATAAAACCCTAAACTTTGAGCCTCGAGCCCCTCGACATTGCCCCTGAGAGCGGCCGGCCGTGGCGGCGGCAGCCGGCGGCCGAGGCCACGGGCCTCTGGGCCGTCGCGCTGCGAGGGCCCGCTGGGTGCGGCGACGCCGAGGGCGCACTGCCCCGCCACGGGGGCGGGACCTGGCCGCTGGGGGCCTCGGGGGCCTCGGCGGAGAGGGAGGAGGGGAGGGGAGGGAGGCAAGCAAGGTGCGCTCGCGTCATATCTGACGTCCTACCCCTCCCTCCCATCCCTTACCATGGCGCTGATTTGCTCTATCCGCGGACGCGTGTCGTAGCGGACCTGTGACTCCGAGCGCGCGTGCGTAGTGGGTGGTGGTGCGCGTGCGTGCGTGCGTGCGTGGTTGTGGTGGTTGTGGTGGTGGTGGTGGTGGTGGTGGTGGTGGTGGTGCTGGTGCTGGTGGTGGTGCTGGTGCTGGTGCTGGTGGTGGTGGTGGTTGTGGTGGTGGTGGTGGTGGTGGTGGTGGTGGTGGTGGTGGTGGTGGGTGGTGGTGGTGTGTGTGTGTGTGTGTGTGCGTGTGTGCGCGTGTGCTGTGGCATGGCACGGGAATGGTGGTGTTGGTGGGTGCTGGTTGGTGGTGGTGGTGGTGGTGGTGCGGCGCGGTGGTGGCGGGCGGATGGGCGCGCGAGAAAGAGGCCCGCGCTGGGGCGAGAACGCCATCCTGAACGACGGAGGCCAAACACCGATCCGAAAATGAGGCCCACGCTGCAGCGGGAGCACGATTCGGAACGATTCGGGAGCAGAAATGAGGCCGGCGCCTCAGCGAGAGCAGCATTTTGTGAAAAACGCACGCGAAAACCCGTTTCCCGGGAATCCTGTGTGTAAAAAACAATACGCGGGGGGGGTCGGCCATCTTCGGGACGCCATCAGGGGAAGTGGGAGAGTATTTTCATATTGTATAATTGTGGAGGTGGGGGGAGGAGGAGGGCAGGAGGAGGAGGAGGAGGAGGAGGAGGAGGAGGAGGAGGAGGAGGAGGAGGAGAGGGAGGGGGAGGGAGGAGGAAGGGGAGGAGGGAAAGGGGGGGGAAAGGGGAGGATGATGAGGAGGAAGAAATGTGATGAGGAGGTGGGGTGATGAACGACGGCGACGATGATGATACCAACTATGGTGATGCTGCTGCTGATGATGCTGATGATGCTGATGATGCTGATGATGCTGCTGATGCTGATGATGATGATGATGATGCTGATGATGGTGTTGCTGATGCTGATGCTGATGATGCTGGCGATGCTGAAGACGGTAAACATGATGATGATGATGACGATGATGATGATGATGATGATGATGATGATGATGATGATGATGATGATGATGATGATGGTGATGCTGATGTTGCTGATGAGGATGGTGATGATGACGACGATGATGATGCTGCTGATGATGATGATGATGGTGACGATGATGATGCTGATGATGCTGATTATGATGCTGATGCTGATGCTGATGATGCTGATCATGCTGCTGCTGCTGCTGCTGCTGATGATGATGATGATGATGACGATGGTGCTGACGATGGTGTCGATGACGACGATGATGCTCCACTGCACGACGTCTTCACCACTAGAGCCAGCGCCGCTCAACAGGGACACAGACGGAGGAGGAGGAACAGAGAAACATACATCGGCTGCTCAGCTTGCGGGGAAACGATTCCAATCGAGCCTCACTGGCACTCAGATCAGCGACAATTTGTTGGCGCATTGACGCCATCTCGTTCTGGGCGTCAAGTGCCCATTGAGCGTCCTCTGGAAGCCCTTGAACTTGGCGATCCAACAGCTCAAACAAACCACGCTTACGATCAATGGCACGGTGTGCATCAGACATGCTCTGCCAGAGAGCTGGAAGAAGCGCAGGGAGGCGGTGATGCGCAGCCCCATGGGCTGCGCCTCCAGTAAAACGTCCATCACTTTCCCGCGCATAACGAACATGCCGAAACTACATTGCAGCACCAGCTGCAGGCGCCCAAGGGTCAGATCCTCAGATCCACGGGGGCCATGCTAAGGGTCAGGAGGAAATGGAGCGTCAGGCCCACGGCGGAGACCAACACCAGCGTCAATCGTGAGGCACTTCACGCGGCTGGCACGCAAGGCCAGCATCACCACGATCGGCAGAATCAACTTGAAGAGGATCAGCGAAATCCTCATCGGTATCCGGTCCGGAGGCCGCGCCGTAAGGGGCGGCGCGAAACGCTGCTGCGAACATGACGCCACGCCGCGTGGGTTTGCAGCCCCGCTGCTCCAGCTCCGTGAGCCGCGGAGGAGCGTCTGGGCGGCTCGCGCCTGCGTCCATACGGCCTGCGAGCGGCGCCCTGCCGACGATCGGCGAGGCCGCCAAGGGCGCCAAGGGAAGTCTCTATGGCGCGACACATGGCCGAGGAAGGCGGAAGCGTGGGAGGGAGGATAGCGGCCGAGGGGGCCACCTGGCGCTCGCTCGTACCATCCGCAGTGTGCGATGACGATTCTGATGACGACGATGATGATGCTGATGATGACGAAGATGATGATGCTGCTGATTATGATGATGGTGATGATGATGTCGGTGATAGTGATGGTGATGAGGATGAGGATGATGTCGATGCTGATGTTGATGCTGCTTATGATGACGATGATGATGCGATGGCGCAGATGATGAGCATTATATGATGACGGATGTGATGCTGGTGTTGACGATTATGCTGACGATGATTGCGATTATGATGATGCCGATGATGATGGACGCTACTGATGGAGATGATGATGCTGATGATGATGATGTCGGTGATCGGAACTGTGATGGTGATGGTGATGAGCCTGATGATGACGATGACGATGACGGTGATGGTGGTGATGGTAATGTTGATGGTGATGATGGCGATAAGAAAATTGATGTCGATTATGTGATGATGACCATGACCATGATGCGCGTGGTGGTTATGATGCTGTTGGTGTGGACGATGTGGATGAGGTGACGTAGAATCTGATGATGGGGATGACGGCGAATGGAATATGTGGGATGAGATGATCATGGTGATGTGATGATGACGAGTGTGCTTGTGATAGTGATGATGGTGATGATGCTGGTGACGATGACACTTCATCTTGTGATGCTGATGATGATAATGATGATGATGCTTATGTTGGTTGACAGGTCGTTGATGTGAATGAGGATAGTGATGATGTGGGGTAAACTTTTCATAACAAGGACTGAGGACGTGGGATGAAAGGATGGTGATGATGATGAAGATGGAGATGCTGATGGTGATCACGATGATAATGCGGATGATTCTGATGATGATGGTGATGCTGAGGAGGATGAGGATGAGGATGAGGATGAGGAGAACATGTGTTGCAGCTGTCTTGTTCGAAGGATGGTCTCACGACCACGGGAGCGTCGCGCGCAGGATGCGCTTATGCACGGTGCCCAGGTCGCTTTCTCGACGTAACAAACTCTTTGCCAACTATAGCGGTGGTGTGACGGAGCGGTTCCGTCTTCTCGACGGCGTGTGTACCAATGTCACCTAAACTAGATGGTCAATATTCTGATGATACCAAAGAGAAGCCCACATCATAATCTTTTTCACGGCTATAAGGCTATGGGGCTATAGGGCTACTATGGCTATAGGACTATAGGGCTATGGTGCTATAGGCTTAAAGGCCTATAAGGCTAATAGGGTTAGTGGGGCTATGGGTACACAGTGTTATAGGGATTTTCGGGCTATAGGGCTATTAAGGCTATAGGGCTATTGGGTTACGGGGCTATAGGGCTATAAAGCTATAGGGCTATAGGGCTATTAGGGCTATCAGGCTATATATATGTGTATATATGAGTGAAGCACACGAGTTCTATTGAACGAGCAGAATTGAAGGAAACACGCGTGTGGGCCCCTACAAACATGGGCAGAATTGACGGGCTGCGTGCTTACGCATGCCCCGTTCCCGGGCTTCCGCGAGAAGGGGAATAAGGTGTTGGTGCACGGCCCGAGGCAGACCACCATTGGTGTTCACGCGATCACTGAAAATACGGTCGCCGTCTTCACGCACGACCAGACGACCGACGTGGATGCCCCCGAGTTCGAGGCCATGCTCAGAGGAGCAGTCGACCGTAAGTTGTGTGTTTTTCTACGTCGAGGTCGGTGCGTCGGAGCCTTCGCCGAGTGAGGCGCGCCTGCTAGATGCTGTCGCCGCGTAGGCGGACTTGCAGAGCCGAGCCGCTTCGATTGGCGAGGCGTTGGGTCAGCTATCGAGAGGTGGCATTCCAACTCCAGCCAGCAAATATAGTCGGCATTGAAGGTCAGCTGATGGCGACGCCCCGTCCTGCGGAGATGGCATTGTAGCCATTTCGGCTCGAACCCTTACTCGGTGTCGCTCTTTGGCGCGGATGCGCGCGTCGATGGACGCGGGCGTTCAGGGCAGCGGTGGCGAAGGTGAGGCTGGTTTCGTGATTGAGTACGGAGCTACTCAAGTAGGGCCAGCAAGACACGTCGACGACGACCACAGCGCGGTGCTCGTGGACGACACCATCGCCGAGCACCTGGGGAAGGAACGCAACGCATACCTTGCGTCGCAGCCGTGGAAGCGGATAGTGACATCTGGAGGGGCATATTGCTTGCTCTGCCCGTGCAAGTTCTTCAAACGTAGAAACTTACAGCGCGATATGCGCGGCCACCTCAATAAGCAACACGCCAAAACACTTTGTCGTAATATCGGAAAGGCATAAGAAGGTTGGTTTGTGGCTGGCCAGGTGAAGTGGCAGTTGCAGATCACACGGGCGCTGTATGACAACGATCAAGTATCCCGCGACCCGCCGGGGAATTACTTGCAGCGGAGCGCCCGCGCTCTGTGGGGCGCTTGCCAAGGCCAACCAGAGTTGCAGCGTGACATGGGACACCATCAGGTGGGCAACGTGTTCAAATTTAGCACCTCTGGGGGAATCGCATTTACACGTCGACAGCCCATCCCCCCCCCGAGGGCGCTCGCAGGGTTGGGTACACGTGCATCGAGAAGGAAACAATGGAGAGATTTGCCAGAGAGCTCATTGCCAATCATCGGAGGATTATGCTGAGGCGCCGCCGTCTCCTACTCACCTTCAAAGCCGCTGGTAACCAGTTGTGGAGTCTGGTGTCCGATAGCTCGACGTGGTGGTCGCGCTTGGTCCAGGACGTTATCGCGTCCGCCTGGTGGCAGGATGCGCGCGCTGAGCTGTTGAGGGAGTGCGCCGACAAGTGCGAGTTTCAACATGTGACCACGGACGCGACAGTTCGGACCCTTCACCTAGTGATTGGCCAGGCCGACTACCGAGCGTCCAGGGCTCAAGAAGCCGCCCAAGTTGTGCCCGAGGCTGAGGCCAGAAGGCGGCGACTGTCCATCAGGGGAATCACTGGGGCAGTGGCGTGCCTGGCCCCCGTGCGCGACGAGTCCAGTGAACACCTCGGCATGATTGTGCGCGAGCACCTCGCGGTCGATATCAAGAGCCAGGTGCGTTCTGTTGCTTGCGATGACACCCCAGCTGCACTGTATAATCACATGAGAACGGCGTTTCCAAATTTGAAATACCTGTGTTCGGATACCGTCCATTTGGTGATCCATTACATCGGCGACACGTAAGAGTGACCCTAGGCAAGAATGCCCTTTGGTGCGCGGCCTTGGGGGTGCCCGTGGGGGCCTGGTGCAACCGCGCAAGCCGAGGCCGTCGGATTGCGTCAACGATCGGTGGGGCGCGCTTCGATAGATCCCTAGCGCCAGCGGGCACTTGCGGACTTCCGCCAATTCGTTCCGGGCGCCCCAAAAACCCGCCCGAGGGCTCTGCGAAGCCACGCGTAATCGGGCGCCACCGCGGAATGTTCTGGCACTGCCGGGCCGCATCGCGATGACGTCTGACCGGGCCCGGCGTCGAGGCCGAAACCGGGCCGAAACTTGGCCCCCCCGCGGCCGCAAATAACTTCCAATAGTAAAGAATTGAATTGTAAAGCGCGGCATGCGAAAAGTTATTCCAAGTTAGTCAAAGTTAGTCAAAGTTATTCCAGAACGATTTGGGACCAGTCCCACAGCGGAGAACGCGTCGCCCGCTCGACTGGGCCCCCCTCGCCAAACGAAGCACGCGGCAGAATGCACCGTGCATGCGTTGCGATCGATTGCGAGTGGCGCACCCTGAATCAAGCGCGCTCTGATGCGATCGCAGACTGGTGCAGCGTGCGCCGACGCGAGGCCGCGCGCACTCCTCAAGACAATCTGTCCGACCCCATTAGGGCCAACACTACAGGTCACTCTGGCCAAGGGTCACTCTTACGCGTAGCCGATTACAACCAGGCGCACTGGGGCAAGACGCGCCCCGGCGAGAAATACCCGCGAAAAATCATGCGCAAGTTCGTCCAGGTTGATTCAACCGAGGAAGCTAGGTTCTGGGGCCCTGCGTTTTGCGGCGACGACGCGAGAGACCGCGAGCCGCTGGAGAAGCGATGCAGGACCTTGATGCAGACAGGAGGGATGAGGCAGACAGAAGTGCAGCGTATACACGATATGATCGACGATTCTGCGCTGTTTCCTTGTCGCCTGGATGTCATCAAGGCGATGGCCTCCCTCGCTGCTCTGCACTGGGCCGAGGTGAACAAAATCACTTAAGTGCAGGGAGCGAAGCTGTATACCATCTTGTGGCGAGCAGTGGCCCCTTCACAAGCTGGAGTGGTACTTCAACAACACCAGAATGACGCGCGCGCTGCCTGCCATCATGGTCAAGCTGGTGGCGAGTGGCTCCACGAGCAATGAGTCGCTGAATCGCGATATCAATGCGATCTCTAAGGACCAACCTGTCCCGCGGCACTTGGATTCGGTCGCCGCCCAAATTCGAGTTTTCCAGCAAGGCAAGCTCTTATCTCACAATGCTGCGCTATATTTCCCGACCACCTCAGCCGTTCCGTCTGCCGACGTTTTGGCGCTCCGCGCAGCGGGCCTGAAGATCAGCTTGCCCGCGTGGGCGGCATGGTGTGCGAACGGCGACGCCACTCTGTCACGTGAGAGTCCGAACATCCCTTTCTTTTGTGCGCCGCCGACTAGCGGCAGTTGCGGCTCTGCGCGAGCAGGGGCGTCCATTGCGGAAGCCTGCGCGCAAGGGGAAGAAGCGCAAACCTTTCAACCTCGTGCGTAAAAGACGCAGCTCTGCCCATGCCGATAAGTAGAGAAGGCCCGCCACGTGGATAATAGCTCAGGAGCTGGCACTCTGACTCCAGCACAAAAGGCATATTTACAGTAACCAGTCAATATAGCAAAAGCCTTGCGGCCGATTCCGCCGACCTTTGCGCGGCGACGCCGCCCATTGTAGTTTTCTGGTTTTTCTGGTTACGACGGTTTTAAACTGCGTTACCATAACCTTTCAGACATGTCCAAAACATAACGCGTCGTATAGGAGTTCATGTCTTTATCGCACATATATATATACATATACATATATATATATATATATATATATATATATATATATATATATATATAGATATATAGGGCTACAGGGCTCTTGGGCAATAGGGCTGTAAGGCTGTGGGGCTATAGAACGATAGGGCTACCGGGCACCCGGGCACCCGGGCGCCAAGGCACCGGGGCGCCTGGGCACCCCCGAGCACTTCTGGGCGCGCCTGGGCACCTCCGGGCACCGCCGGGCGCCCGGCGCGCCCGGGCACCCGGGCGCCCCCAGGCCCCCGGGCGGGCCACCGAAATCGGCGACGCAGGTCACCTACACATATGAATCCACTGGGACCCATACAGAGGCAAGCTCTGATTTGGGGTTATCATGGTCATAATTTTTGTGGTGCATTGTTTTGTTTGGATTTGCATATCTGTTTTGGCAGGCCTCTGGGCCCGCGCGAGTCGCACTGCCTAGTATCTGTCATGGAGGCGAACGCGATGTCGTGCACACTACATGCAACGACGCAGCATCCATGGAACAAGCTTTGTGGAACAGCGCAGCGGGGCAAGCGGAGCGTATCATCAGTGTTGCTTCGTCACTTTCCTGAGCGTGCATCTCCAGGATTTGGCGCTTTCAGAATCGATGCGGACGTTTGGTCTCTGATCCCCTCGCAGCTTGAGCCGAAGGTGCGACAGACAATTTTGGACTTGTACAACTTGTGTATGCTGCGACTTCTGCATCGTAAATCTTACCCCGCGCTTATGACCGCTGTATCTGCTATTCTAGACGACCTCGCCAATTTCTGGGCGCGACAGCCCCGCTGCTTTGAGGCATCGTCCATGCTAGTGGCATGTTGCTTGGCTAGTTTGCGATGTCAGTTGCAAATTCGGCTGTGGCGGCTGAACGGGGGGCGCTCCGTTGGAAAAGCCCAAGAGTTTTGTAAGGGATTTGGAAGCGAATTCATTGCGGGACTTTCTTGTCAAGATACTGCGTCTTCCGAACGGCAAGTCTGTGTTCTGTTTGATTTCCTCCGCTCGCAGCCCCCAAAATCACCTCCGCGAAGGCACCGCGGGGCAAGACGTGCGCGCTGACTATCCCCGGGGCCCCGTCGGTCCTGCGCCGCTGCGTAGATCGCGGAAGTCAAGTGCGCGCCCAGCGCGCGCCGCTGACCTGCTGGGGGTCGCGAGCAGAGGCGAGCCGCCCTCAAATGTGGCGGGCGGGGTGGGGCGGGGGGGGCGACCTGACAACCTGCGGCGCATCTCGGGTGGATGGATCGGCGACGAGCCATCGCACGTCGGATGCAAGCCTTCGCGGGCCGCGCGGGGGCGCGCCCCCGATCGGCAGCGATGCGCCGGCAATTCAAATTCGACGCCACCCTTTTTTGAAGTCAACGGCTAGGAGGTCCTCGTCCGAGGGGCGCCCGGACAAAGTCCAAGAGCTGCCGGGCTGGATTGCGCCAAGGATTGAACGGGATTGCGCCAGATTCGCCAGGGGCACTGGGGGGGGCTTGGAACGCCCCTGTTCCCCCCCCCCATCCCATCCATGTCCCCCGATGACCCTCGGCGAGGGTGCGCCGCTCCTCGCGGCCGCGCAAATGCAGCAGGCTGCGCGGCAAGTTCACGGCGGAGCGGATGGTGCCCCGACGCGTCGCCCAGAGCTGCATCCGGTCGCCGAAAACCTGGGGCGCGCCGAGAAACAGTTCTGAGGGCTATGGGACTATAGGGTTATCGGGCTGAAGTGCTATAGGCTTATAAGCCTATGAGGCTATGGGGTTATAAGGGCTATAGGGCTATGTGTATATGGGGTTATAAGGCTATTAGGGCTAGTCGGGCTATTAGGGCTACGGGCTATAGAGCTACGGAGCTTACGGGGCTTACGGGGCCATAGGGCTATAGGGCTATAAGGCTATGAGGCTATCGGGCTATAGGGCTATCGGGCTATAGGGCCATCGGGCAATTTCGGGCTATGTGGCTATAGGGCTATGTATGTGTGTGTATATATATATATAAGGCTACAGGGCTCTTGGGGTATAAGGCTGTAGGGCTAAAAAACTATAAGGCTATGCCGGGCACCCGGGCGCCCCCAGGCGCCCGGGCGCCGGGGCGCCTGGGCGCCCCCGAGCACCTCCGGGCACGCCAGGGCACCTCCGGGCACCCCTGGGCGCCCGGCGTACCCGGGCCCCCGGGCCCCCCCCGGGCCCCCCGGGCGGGCCACCGACATCGGCGACGTAGGTCGCCTACACATATGAATCCTCTAGGACCCTTACAGAGGCAAGCTCTGGTTGGGGTTCATCATGGTCTTACTCTTTGTCGCGCCCTGTCTTCGTTTGGAATTGCAAATCTGTTCCGGCGGGCCTCCAGGCCCACGCGAGTCGCGTTGCCTAGTATCTGTCGCGGGGGGGAACGCGATGTCTCGCGCGCTACACGCAGCGACGCAGCACCCAATGAGCAAGCTTTGTGGAACAGCGCAGCGGGGCAAGCGTAGCGTATTATCAGTGTTGCTTCGTCACTTTCCTGAGTGTGCATCTCCAGGATTCGGTGCTTTCAGAATCGATGCGGACGTTTGGTCTCTGATCCCCTCGCAGCTTGAGCCGAAGGTGCGCCAAACAATTTCGGACTTGTACGACTTGTGTATGCTGCAACTTCTGCGTCGTAAATCTTACTCCGCGCTTCTGACCGCTGCATCTGCTATTCTAAACGACCTCGTCAAGCTCTGGGCGCTAAAGCCCCGCTGCTTTGATGCATCGTCCATGCTGGTGGCGCGTTGCTTGGCTAGCGCGCGATGTCAGTTGCAAATTCGGCTGAGGTGGCTGAGCGGGAGGCGCTCCGCTGGAAAACCCAGAAAGGTTTCGCATGGGATTTGGAAACGAGTTCATTGCGGCACTTTCTTGTCAATATACTGCGTCATCCGAGCGGCGAGTCTGTGTTCTGTTTGATTTCCTGCGCTCGCAGGCCAATGCTAACTGTTTTCGTCAAGTGGCCGCTGGATATATCAGCTACGTTAGGCGCGCGAAGAGTGTCCGCGCGACCCGTAGTGGAGGCGCCGCAAGCCCGGGGGTGAGATTTCTGGGGAACTGCAA